TTTTTTTTTTTTTTTAAAAAAAACTTGGGTTTTTTTTTGTTTCTTTTTTTTTCTGCGGGGGGGTGTTTCGTTGGTTTGTTTTGTTTTTTGTTTTGTTTTGTTTTGTTTTGTTTTTGTTTTTTTGGGTTTTTTGTTTTTCTGTTTGTTTTGTTTTTTTGTTTCTTTTGTTTGTTTTGTTTTTGTTTTGTTTGGCTTCTCTTTTTTTGTTTTGTTTTTTTTTGTTTTTGTTTTGTTTTTGTTTTGTTTTTGTTTTCTTTAGTTTGGTTTGGTTTGTGTGTTTTTGTTTTGTTTCTGTTTTGTTGTTTTTTGTTTTTTTTGTCTTTTTTGTTTTTTCTTTTTAGGTTTCGCCTCTGCTTTGTGTTGCTTTGTTTCTTTTTGTTTGTTTTATTTTTATTTTTATTTTTGTTTTTTTATTTTTCTTTTTGTTGTTCTTTTTATTTGTTTTGGTAATTACTGTTTTATTATTATTGTGGCGTTCACTGTTATACTTATTATTATTATGATTTTTATTATTTTTACTTTTTATATTATTTTTATTATTTTAATTATATTTATCTCTATTATTTTTATTCTTTTTATTATTTTTATTATGTTGATGCTGCTGCTGCTGCTGCTGTTGCTGCTGTCTGTATTTAGTTTCAGCAGCACGAAAGCAGCAATTCTGTTTCCTTTTGTTCTCGCATCTGTGGTGTGTCTCCACTTCAGTATCTAGGGTTTAGGGTTTAGGGTTTAGGGTTTAGGGTTTAGGGTTTGTTGCAGGCGTGCTGTACACCTAACCCAGCACCTAGCAACAGCAGAAGAGATAGCTGCGTTAGATGCTCAGCTGCTGGTGGAGGCCCCCAGGCAAGATATATATGAGTTCACGGGGCGTTTCTCTTACTTCGGCAGCAGCAGCAGCAGCAGCAGCAGCAGCAGCAGCAGCGGTGGTGGTGGTGGTGGTGGTGGTGAGAGAAACGAAGGGGGGAGAGAAGAAACGACAGGAGATGCTGCTGCTGCTGCTGTTGAGCAGCAGCAGCAGCAGCAGCAGCAGCAGCAACAGCAGCAAGATCAAAACACCAACAGAACATCTTCTTCAGCAGCAGCCACGTAGAACCCCTGGGGCTGGAGCAGGTGCTCTGGGCTAATACTGTTGTAGCTTCAGGC